CAGTGACAACAGGAGGGAGCCCCCCACTAACAGTGACAACAGGGAATCCCCCACAAACAGTGACAACAGGAGGGAGCCCCACCACCAACAGTGACAACAGGAGGGAGCCCCCTACTAACAGTGACAACTGGAGAGAGCCCCCACCAACAGTGACAACAGGAGGGAGCCCCCTAATAACAGTGACAACAGGAGGGAGCCCCCCACTAACAGTGACAACAGGAGGGAGCCCCCCACCAACAGTTACAACAGGAGGGATCCTCCGAGCAGTGACAACAGGAGGGAGCCCCCCTACAGTGACAACAGGAGGGATCCCCCCAACAGTGTCAACAGGAGGTAGCCCCAACAGTGACAACAGGAGGGAGCCCCCCAACAGTGTCAACAGGAGGTAGCCCCAACAGTCACAAGAGGAGGGAGCCCCAACAGTGACAACAGGAGGGAGGCCCCCCACCAACACTGGAGCCCCCCGAGCAGTGACAACAGGAGGGAGCCCCCCACCAACAGTGACAACAGGAGGGATCCCCCCAACAGTGTCAACAGGAGGTAGCCCCAACAGTGACAACAGGAGGGAGCCCTCCAACAACAGTGACAACAGGAGGGAGCCCCCCACCAACAGTGACAACAGGAGGGAACCCCCTCCCCCCAACAGTGACAACAGGAGGGAACCCCCCCTCCCCCCAACAGTGACAACAGGAGGGAGCCCCACCACCAACAGTGACAACAGGAAGGAGCCCCCCACCACCAACAGTGAAAACAGGAGGGAGCCCCCCAAGTGTAACAACATTGACAACAGGAGGGAGCCCCCCACCAACAGTGACAACAGGAGGGAGACCCCCACCAACAGTGACAACAGGAGGGAGACCCCCACCAACAGTGACAACAGGAGGGAGCCCCAACAGTAACAACAGGAGGGAGACCCCCACCAACAGTGACAACAGGAGGAAGCCCCAACAGTAACAACAGGAGGGAGCCTCCCAACAGCGACAACATGAGGGGGCCCCAACAGTGACAACAGGAGGGAGCCCCAACAGTGACAACAGGAGGGAGCCCCCCAACAGTGACAACAGGAGGGAGCCCCCCAACAGTGACAACAGGAGGGAGACCCCCACCAACAGTGACAACAGGAGGGAGACCCCCACCAACAGTGACAACAGGAGGGAGCCCCAACAGTAACAACAGGAGGGAGACCCCCACCAACAGTGACAACAGGAGGAGGCCCCAACAGTAACAACAGGAGGGAGCCCCCCAACAGTGACAACATGAGGGAGCCCCAACAGTGACAACAGGAGGGAGCCCCAACAGTGACAACAGGAGGGAGCCCCCCAACAGTGACAACAGGACGGAGCCCCCCAACAGTGACAACAGGAGGGAGCCCCCCAACAGTGACAACATGAGGGAGCCCCAACAGTGACAACAGGAGGGAGCCCCAACAGTGACAACAGGAGGGAGCCCCAACAGTGACAACAGGACGGAGCCCCCCAACAGTGACAACAGGAGGGAGCCCCCAACAGTGACAACAGGAGGGAGCCCCCAACAGTGACAACAGGAGGGAGCCCCCCAACAGTGACAACAGGAGGGAGCCCCCAACAGTGACAACAGGATGGAGCCCCCCCCCAACAGTGACAACAGGAGGGAGCCCCCCCAACAGTGACAACAGGAGGGAGGGCCCCACCAACAGTGACAACAGGAGGGAGCCCCAACAGTGACAACAGGAGGGAGGTCTCCCCCAACAGTGACAACAGGAGGGAGCCCCCCAACAGTGACAACAGGAGGGAGCCCCAACAGTGACAACAGGAGGGAGCCCCCAACAGTGACAACAGGAGGGAGCCCCCCAACAGTGACAACAGGAGGGAGCCCCCCAACAGTGACAACAGGAGGGAGCCCCCCCAACAGTGACAACAGGAGGGAGCCCCAACAGTGACAACAGGAGGGAGCCCCAACAGTGACAACAGGAGGGAGCCCCCCCCCCCAACAGTGACAACAGAAGGGAGCCCCCCCAACAGTGACAACAGGAGGGAGCCCCCCAACAGTGACAACAGAAGGGAGCCCCCCAACAGTGACAACAGGAGGGAGCCCCCCCCCAACAGTGACAACAGGAGGGAGCCCCCCAACAGTGACAACAGGAGGGAGCCCCCCCCCCCAACAGTAACAACAGAAGGGAGCCCCCCCAACAGTGACAACAGGAGCCAAAATACGAGAGCGCTGAGATGGAGAAAATAAATATTTTAATTAAATAAACTTTTTTGGTAATTACTTGAGAACAAAAGTTATAATGAACTGTGTGAAATATTTTGTTGTGTAATTTGTTCTTGTGTCGCCTGCTATAATTGGTGGTCGTGTCTGGCGGTATAATTACCCTCGTTAGTGGCGAGTCGTACGAGGCGATTGTCTTAGATACTGAGGCCATGCACTGAGATGGTAATCTACCGAGGGTGGTTCTATCGGGGATCACTGTCCCTGCGGCCCAGTTTCTGGAACCCCCCCCCTGGTTGGTGGTCTGGTTAACCAAAGTGGTAAGACCACCCCGTTCACCTGACGTACAAAATCCAACCTTCTAACCCCTCTAGAGACGTAGGCACCCACACAACCCACCAAACCTCTCCAGTCAGACACATAGAAAACGTGTGTATATATATATATATATATATATATATATATATATATATATATATATATATATATATATATATATATATATATTTGTGAGTCCTCACTTCCCATAGTAAGATACATTTGAAACATTGGTTTCCAAAACGTACAAAACGCGACGTATTAGTTGATATGACGGGTCGGTTAGACTCGGCGGTCCCAGGCTAACGTGGGCGTGATATGGGAGGTAAATGGTATCACAGTCCCATAGTGAGTCATTAGAGCAGAATGGTTTAGGCATACTCCCTTGTCCCATTATGTTGTTCACTGGTATTCCTGCCTCCACCTTATACATTAGTCTCCTAAGGGGTGCTAATGGCTATCTAGTTATCTAAAGCAATCCGTCCTCCATATAAAAATTCGTTATAATAGTAAATAGATAATAGTACATTAATGAACCGCATTTGTTACTATATTAATACACTATGTTAATACACTATATTAATACACTATGTTAATACACTATATTAATACACTCTGTTAATACACTATATTAATACACTATGTTAATACACTATATTAATACACTCTGTTAATACACTATATTAATACACTCTGTTAATACACTATATTAATACACTCTGTTAATACACTATATTAATACACTATGTTAATACACTATGTTAATACACTATGTTAATACACTATATTAATACACTATGTTAATACACTATATTAATACACTCTGTTAATACAATATATTAATACACTATGTTAATACACTATGTTAATACAATATATTAATACACTATGCTCTTAACATTGCCTTCCGCAAATAATCTCTTGAAACGAGGAATTTTCTCTAATGTAACCGGTATCCCGTTTTCTTTTACAATTTGGCTTCCACTCAAGTCAGGCCAGTTGTTATTATTTCAATATATGTTGTGGACACTTTTGGCCAAGATAATCCAATGTTTCTTGTAAAGTGAACACTTCTCAGGATGTTCTGTGACACAAGAACAGTCACCAGATGAACACATTAGAACACGTTCTCCAACACTATCTGTGGTTGAGTGGTAATAAAGGTTTTGAGAACAAATTGAGACACTTTGAGTTGTGTCCGAGACACTCACCAATATTGGAGGAGTGTTGAGTGTGTCTCACTCTAAGACACTCACCAATATTGGAGGAGTGTTGAGTGTGTCTCACTCTAAGACACTCACCAATATTGGAGGAGTGTTGAGTGTGTCTCACTCTAAGACACTCACTATATTGGAGGAGTGTTGAGTGTGTCTCACTCTAAGACACTCACCAATATTGGAGGAGTGTTGAGTGTGTCTCACTCTAAGACACTCACCAATATTGGAGGAGTGTTGAGTGTGTCTCTAAGACACTCACCAATATTGGAGGAGTGTTAAGTGTGTCTCACTCTAAGACACTCACCAATATTGGAGGAGTGTTGAGTGTGTCTCACTCTAAGACACTCACTAATATTGGAGGAGTGCTGAGTGTGTCTCACTCTAAGACACTCACCAATATTGGAGGGGTGTTGAGTGTGTCTCACTCTAAGACACTCACCAATATTGGAGGAGTGCTGAGTGTGTCTCACTCTAAGACACTCACCAATATTGGAGGAATGTTGAGTGTGTCTCACTCTAAGACAAAACACTCAAGCCGTCTTGCCTGACCCTCAACACTACCGCTGCACCACGACGTCTCTCCCAACATCAGTCTTGCCTGACCCTCAACACTACCGCTGCACCACGACGTGTCTCCCAACATCAGTCTTGCCTGACCCTCAACACTACCGCTGCACCACGACGTGTCTCCCAACATCAGTCTTGCCTGACCCTCAACACTACCGCTGCACCATGACGTGTCTCCCAACATCAGTCTTGCCTGACCCTCAACACTACCGCTGCACCACGACGTGTCTCCCAACATCAGTCTTGCCTGACTGACCAAGACGTGTCTCCCAACATCAGTCTTGCCTGACCCTCAACACTAACAAGACGTGTCTCCCAACATCAGTCTTGCCTGACCCTCAACACTACCGCTGCACCACGACGTGTCTCCCAACATCAGTCTTGCCTGACCCTCAACACTACCGCTGCACCAAGACGTGTCTCCCAACATCAGTGTGACCCTCCCTAACATCAGTCTTGCCTGACCCTCAACACTACCGCTGCACCACGACGTGTCTCCCAACATCAGTCTTGCCTGACCCTCAACACTACCGCTGCACCACGACGTGTCTCCCAACATCAGTCTTGCCTGACCCTCAACACTACCGCTGCACCACGACGTGTCTCCCAACATCAGTCTTGCCTGACCCTCAACACTACCGCTGCACCAACATCAGACGTGTCTCCCCAACATCAGTCTTGCCTGACCCTCAACACTACCGCTGCACCATGACGTGTCTCCCAACATCAGTCTTGCCTGACCCTCAACACTACCGCTGCACCAAGACGTGTCTCCCAACATCAGTCTTGCCTGACCCTCAACACTACCGCTGCACCAAGACGTGTCTCCCAACATCAGTCTTGCCTGACCCTCAACACTACCGCTGCACCATGACGTGTCTCCCAACATCAGTCTTGCCTGACCCTCAACACTACCGCTGCACCATGACGTGTCTCCCAACATCAGTCTTGCCTGACCCTCAACACTACCGCTGCACCACGACGTGTCTCCCAACATCAGTCTTGCCTGACCCTCAACACTACCGCTGCACCACGACGTGTCTCCCAACATCAGTCTTGCCTGACCCTCAACACTACCGCTGCACCATGACGTGTCTCCCAACATCAGTCTTGCCTGACCCTCAACACTACCGCTGCACCACGACGTGTCTCCCAACATCAGTCTTGCCTGACCCTCAACACTACCGCTGCACCAAGACGTGTCTCCCAACATCAGTCTTGCCTGACCCTCAACACTACCGCTGCACCACGACGTGTCTCCCAACATCAGTCTTGCCTGACCCTCAACACTACCGCTGCACCAAGACGTGTCTCCCAACATCAGTCTTGCCTGACCCTCAACACTACCGCTGCACCAAGACGTGTCTCCCAACATCAGTCTTGCCTGACCCTCAACACTACCGCTGCACCACGACGTGTCTCCCAACATCAGTCTTGCCTGACCCTCAACACTACCGCTGCACCAAGACGTGTCTCCCAACATCAGTCTTGCCTGACCCTCAACACTACCGCTGCACCAAGACGTGTCTCCCAACATCAGTCTTGCCTGACCCTCAACACTACCGCTGCACCACGACGTGTCTCCCAACATCAGTCTTGCCTGACCCTCAACACTACCGCTGCACCAAGACTGACCACCAAGTGCTCACATCAAGTGTAACTACCAATATTACCACTAGTGATACCACGGACGTCAGACCTCTTAATATTATGCAGCTCTAGCACGGAGCCGCTCCCACCCCCATAATAGCAGACTGGTACCAGAGTTTTAGGGAGTAGCAGTTTTAGTTTAGTTTTAGAGAGGGATGCCGAGCGGACAGCACACTGGGCTTGTGATCCTGTGGTCCCGGGTTCGATCCCGGGCACCGGTGAGAAACAATGGGCAGAGTTTCTTTCACCCTATGCCCCTGTTACCTAGCAGTAAAATAGGTACCTGGGTGTTAGTCAGCTGTCACGGGCTGCTTCCTGGGGGTGGAGGCCTGGTCGTGGACCGGGCCGCGGGGACACTAAAGCCCCGAAATCATCTCAAGATAACCTCAAGATCATCTCAAGATAACATGCAAGGGAAGACTTATGAAGTTCATGTCACTCAAGTAAGGCAACAGCTGGAGAGACATGATCACAACTTAAAAAATACTCGATGGAATAGACAAGGCAAAATATCTCGGCGCCCTCAGGACCAGTAAATGGGGGGAGCTCGACCCCCCCCAGGGCAAATAAAGGGAGGGGCCTGGGCTCCCCCAGGACGAATGACAGTGAATGACCCATACCCATAACATTAAGGTAACTGCGTGTCCTATAATATGTTGTTGACAAACAACTCGTGGGAAGCAACAGTGAAGAGGAACGTACCTTAAGCTGGTGGAGCTGCGTCCCGCGATGAGCTAAAAAAGCCTTACCTGTAATGACACAAAAAGTCATTATTAATGTGCCTATTGACAGTCCTATATACACATTATACTCATATACCACATATATAACATTTGACTGGTCACATCCCCCTCCATGTTGGTATGCTTGAGACGGAGGTCACCCTTGAGGGTCGAGGTGGTCCTTACCTTCTCCTGGAGGATGGTTGTGCTGCTCGTAGTGGGGTCAGACACGGGGGTCAGCGCTGGCCGTGGTGGGGTCAGACAAGGGGTCAGCCCTGGCCGTGGTGGGGGTCAGACAAGGGGTCAGCCCTGGCCGTGGTGGGGGTCAGACAAGGGGTCAGCCCTGGCCGTGGTGGGGGTCAGACAAGGGGTCAGCCCTGGCCGTGGTGGGGTCAGACAAGGGTCAGCCCTGGCCGTGGTGGGGTCAGACAAGGGTCAGCCCAGGCCGTGGTGGGGGTCAGACAAGGGGTCAGCCCTGGCCGTGGTGGGGGTCAGACAAGGGGTCAGCCCTGGCCGTGGTGGGGGTCAGACAAGGTGTCAGCCCTGGCTGTGGTGGGGTCAGACAAGGGGTCAGCCCTGGCCGTGGTGGGGGTCAGACAAGGGTCAGCCCTGGCCGTGGTGGGGGTCAGACAAGGGGTCAGCCCTGGCCGTGGTGGGGGTCAGACAAGGGTCAGCCCTGGCCGTGGTGGGGGTCAGACAAGGGGTCAGCCCTGGCCGTGGTGGGGTCAGCGTCATCACCATATACGCGCGAACACAAACAAAAGCGACGTTGCCAACATTCACGAATCACTCACAATTTAAATCACTATAGTTTCTAAGCACTAACGTTTAATAGTGGCGTGTCCTGCCTCAGTGTCTGGCCTGGTCTCCAAATGCACTTTTAGGATCTTGATAGACACGAAACTAGTAATAAAAACACCGGTACACGTGAACCGCACCGCTGTAATTGGCTCGTCCTCACTCTAGAGGTAACTATCACGTAGTTAATTAGACACCACAACGTCCAGTCTTCATAATTCCGTGTGACCAAACACTTGGGTAGATTGTCAGGTACACTTTGTGGTCTCTCAGTGATCACGACACAGCTACCACAACACAGCCACCACGACACAGCCACCACAACACAGCCACCACGACACAGCCACCACGACACAGCCACCACGACACAGCCACCACAACATAGCCACCACAACACAGCCACCACGACACAGCCACCACGACACAGCCACCACAACACAGCCAACACGACACAGCCACCACGACACAGCCACCACGACACACCCACCACGACACACCCACCACAACACAGCCACCACAACACAGCCACCACAACACAGCCACCACAACACAGCCACCACGACACAGCCACCACGACACAGCCACCACAACACAGCCACCACAACACAGCCACCACAACACAGCCACCACAACACAGCCACCACAACACAGCCAACACTAGCCACCATAAACAACACACTGGCCTGACCCCCACAGACCAGAGGCCCCAAACAGTCTCAAGGTGCCAATCTGTGGTTGTCAACACTGGTTGGGCTCACGTTGACCAGCCGCCGGCTCCCTGGCGCTGGCGTACGAGAATTTCTAGAGCGCTACTTGGTACCCCAGCTGACACGGCGGGGTAAGAAGCACCTATACCTTGGTACCTGTTTGTACCTGCGGTACAAATGTACTAAAACGGTACTGTTTGAAGCTACTATAGTGTACTGTAAGGCATAGTTTATATACACACACACACACCCTTATTTTGCCCCCCCCCCATTTACTGGTCCTGGGGGGGCCGAGGTCCCCCCCCCCATTTACTGGTCCTGGGGGCACGAGGTCCCCCCACCCCATTTACTGATCCTGGGGGGTCGAGGTCCCCCCCATTTACTGGTCCTGGGGGCACGAGGTCCCCCCACCCCATTTACTGATCCTGGGGGGTCGAGGTCCCCCCCATTTACTGGTCCTGGGGGTGCCGAGATATTTTGCCTTGTCGATTCAATCCAGTAGTTTTTAAGAAGTGATCATGTCTCTCCAGCTGCTGCCATACCTGAGTGACGTGAACTTCATAAGTCTTCCCTTGCATGTCATCTTGAGATGATCTTGAGGTTATCTTGAGATGATTTCGGGGCTTTAGTGTCCCCGCGGCCCGGTCCTCGACCAGGCCTCCACCCCCCAGGAAGCAGCCCGTGACAGCTGACTAACACCCAGGTACCTATTTTACTGCTAGGTAACAGGGGGCATAGGGTGAAAGAAACTCTGCCCATTGTTTCTCGCCGGCGCCCGGGATCGAACCCGGGACCACAGGATCACAAGCCCAGTGTGCTGTCCGCTCGGCATCCCTCTCTAAAACTGAACTAAAACTGCTACTCCCTAAAACTCTGGTACCAGTCTGCTATTATGGGGGTGGGAGCGGCTCCGTGCTAGAGCTGCATAATATTAAGAGGTCTGACGTCCGTGGTATCACTAGTGGTAATATTGGTAGTTACACTTGATGTGAGCACTTGGTGGTCGGTGTTGGTGCTGGCTCCTTAAGGTCGGGGAAGTTTGTGTGAAGGTTTTCTCCTCCGGATGACTGCAAGACTGATGTTGGGAGACACGTCGTGGTGCAGCGGTAGTGTTGAGGGTCAGGCAAGACTGATGTTGGGAGACACGTCATGGTGCAGCGGTAGTGTTGACGGTCAGGCAAGACTGATATTGGGAGACACGTCATGGTGCAGCGGTAGTGTTGAGGGTCAGGCAAGACTGATGTTGGGAGACACGTCATGGTGCAGCGGTAGTGTTGAGGGTCAGGCAAGACTGATGTTGGGAGACACGTCATGGTGCAGCGGTAGTGTTGAGGGTCAGGCAAGACTGATGTTGGGAGACACGTCATGGTGCAGCGGTAGTGTTGAGGGTCAGGCAAGACTGATGTTGGGAGACACGTCTTGGTGCAGCGGTAGTGTTGAGGGTCAGGCAAGACTGATGTTGGGAGACACGTCATGGTGCAGCGGTAGTGTTGAGGGTCAGGCAAGACGGCTTGAGTGTTTTGTCTTAGAGTGAGACACACTCAACATTCCTCCAATATTGGTGAGTGTCTTAGAGTGAGACACACTCAACATTCCTCCAATATTGGTGAGTGTCTTAGAGTGAGACACACTCAACATTCCTCCAATATTGGTGAGTGTCTTAGAGTGAGACACACTCAACACTCCTCCAATATTGGTGAGTGTCTTAGAGTGTGACACACTCAACACTCCTCCAATATTGGTGAGTGTCTTAGAGTGAGACACACTCAACACTCCTCCAATATTGGTGAGTGTCTTAGAGTGAGACACACTCAACACTCCTCGAATATTGGTGAGTGTCTTAGAGTGAGACACACTCATCACTCCTCCAATATTGTGAGTGTCTTAGAGTGAGACACACTCAACACTCCTCCAATATTGTGAGTGTCTTAGAGTGAGACACACTCAGCACTCCTCCAATATTGGTGAGTGTCTGAGGTGGTTACACAACTCAAAGTGTCTCGGACCATTTGTTCTCAAAACCTTTATTACCACTCAACCACAGATAGTGTTGGAGAACGTGTTCTAATGTGTTCATCTGGTGACTGTTCTTGTGTCACAGAACATCCTGAGAAGTGTTCACTTTACAAGAAACATTGGATTATCTTGGCCAAAAGTGTCCACAACATATATTGAAATAATAACAACTGGCCTGACTTGAGTGGAAGCCAAATTGTAAAAGAAAACGGGATACCGGTTACATTAGAGGAAATTAATTCATCGTATCGGGAGATTATTAGGTAACTAATATATTAATATGCTAACAGTGTGGTTCATTAATGTTCTATGTCTATACACTATTATAACGAACTGTCTATATGGAGGACGGGTTGATCCATAAATATGCAGTCTATCCACCCTTTACTTCTTGCCTGATTTTGTTGACTGGTCATAGAATTCTATTAATCCTGTGAGGCAAAATTTGCCTCACAGGATTAATTCTTCTTCTTCTTGCACAGGACTATTCTTCTTCCCATGTTGGTTATGTGTTATAAAGTTCGTTCTCTCTCGATTTTCTACTAGTTTCTAGTTACTACTAGTAACTAGTTTCTAGTGTAGTCACGGGGAAGCACTTTTTTAATAATAGCTGACAGTTTTGTTTCAGCGAGTGCTATTACATCTGGGTCGTCTTCTTGTAATCTTTCACTAGTTCACTTCTTTTGTAATTCCATCTGTTGTTGAGTATATTGCTCTGAAGCTCACTCTCTTCTGTCCAAGCTCAGTTACATATGGAACTCTCCTAGTTGTGCTTGTGGGGGTTGAGCTTTGGCTCATTGGTCCCGCCTCTCAACTGTCAATCAACAGG